TAGGCTCAGTCTCCAGCCGTCGGGATTTCGTGCGCCCGCGATACTCTCTCCCCTGACGGCTGGGCGCATGAGGTTCGCTATTGTCAGTCTTGACCAATCAGCGAGTGGCCCCCGATATTTTGAGGGGCATATCATTAATAAATTAGCAGGCAGCAGTGTAACAAAATGGCGTACAATTCGTCGTTTGAGATTCTCTTTGAAAGTGCTTGTTTGAAGGCTCTGAAGTCGTTTAGCTTGGACGAATTTAGAGAAATACAGCAAAAGGCTCTTAAAGAGATTGTTCTTGGAAAAGATGTCCTTGTTATTCTTCCTATACTGGCTCGGGCAAATCTCTTATTTTTCAAACAGCGCCACTAGTGTATTTTGCTCGTTTTTCTGGCAGATAATACATCCATTTGGATTATTAAACCCTGCACATGTTTTACTTGGGGTAATTTCCATTCCTTTCTCTTTTTTAAAGCGCTAACTATTACATTATATCGCTACTTCGCGAAGTTTTCATTTCACATAATTTCCCGCCTTGTAGCAAAACCTTTACGGCTGTTGTCAGATATTTCACTTCCGTTCACTGAAAAATTCACTTCCGTTACGTCATAATATGCTAATTACACAAAAACGTCACGGACATGCGCGACACGTTTCGAACCCCATGCGCCCAGCCGTCGGGGGAGAGAGTATCGCGGGCGCACGAAATCCCGACGGCTGGAGACTGAGCCTATCATCAGGTGGAATGACTGAAAAAATAGAAACATTTAAAAAAATTCACATGGTGTAGTATGTGAAAGCCTTACCCTTTGTCCARATTTGGGTGAACCCGAGCAACCTTGGCGGCCTGGATTTACAAACGAAGGYTGTAAACTGATAAATCTCGACATATCTCATGATAGGTTTGATTAGACTACACATCAGTTGCTGCATAATACAACTTTTKTTAATTTCAAAATACAGCTATTTCAAAACAATAGGCAGTCTAGGACTGCATGTGGCTAGTTCTAGCTAGTAAAATAGAAATCTATTTTTTTGTCGAAAAAAAATAGGTTCGTTTTAATTTTTTTCATAGAATAATGGGGTCCCTGTGGCAAGGAATGGAGTGCAAG